AAAAAAATGAAGACCAGCAGGGCTCCAACTGTGAAATGCAAATGCAAAAAAAATCTTACGCGTAGAGTAAGCCGAGCCACACGTGGCGCAGAGCATCTGATGCCTGTCCGAGGTGACCTCGCAGCCTGCGAGCTTCCCGCACGCTGTTTGGCCCGTGCGCACGGATCAGCATCTCGGACACGGTCATGACAGGCACTGCTGGGGGAAGTGGTGGCAATGGGGCCTCCTGCAGCAACACATTGTGGAAGTCCGGAGACGCAGCACGGAGGCTGTGGAGGCAATGGATGATGATGGCCAGGCAGATCAGGTGCTCCGAGCCCCAGTGTGCGCACAAGCCAAAGAGCTCCTCTGCGGGTGCCAAAATACTTGCAACGCAGCCATTCAAGATGTGCGCCCGGGTTTCCGCACACCGTGTGCGTTGCAAAGCGCCCGCGAGAGCGGCCAGGTGGGCCTCCAGGAGCACCGGGCTAACCAAATCACTCATGGAAGGATACACTACTCAAAGGACTGTGCGTGAAAATCTGGAAGCCGAAAGTCAGGCTCTCGAAGGCTGCTGGGCAAGTCCACAGAAACAGCCCTGGTTTCCCCGCCAAAAGGGATGCCACCCCGAATAGAAACCATCTTTTTTTGAGGGGGAGAGAAGAAACAGCCCTGGTTTCCCCGCCAAAAGGGATGCCTCCCCGAATAGAAACCTTTTTTTTTGAGGGGGAGAGAAGAAGCAGCCCTGGTTTCCGTGCGTGAAAATCCTCCTGCCGAAAGTCAGGCTCTCGAAGGCTGCTGGGCAAGTCCACAGAAACAGCCCTGGTTTCCCCGCCAAAAGGGATGCCACCCCAAATAGAAACCTTTTTTTAAAAGAAACAGCCCTGGTTTCCCCGCCAAAAGGGATGCCACCCCAAATAGAAACCATCTTTTTTGAGGGGGAGTTTCCCCACCAAACGGGATGCCACCCCGAATCAAAACCTTTATTTTAGGGGGGAAACCGCAAGCATCTAGAAGGCATGCGAATCTGGCTTGCCAAACGTCAGGCTCTCGAAGGCTGCTGAGCAAGTCCA